GGTGTCATTGGTGGATGTGGTGATAGTTGTATGCTGTCTCTCTTCCCAAGTCCCAGGTGTTGAGTTTGTTTGCTCCATAGATCCTGCCAAACTGCTGGTCAGTGGCGAACTTGGAAGAGTAGCTGTCATATGCTCCTGGGTTTCAGACACTGACGTCCTTCCAGTTGTTGGTGAGCTGTTAGGTTCAGGTGCKGCGATGTGACCTCTCCCACTGTGGGACAGAGCTAAAGTTGTAGATGGACACAATATTGTCTCCGGAAGCGCAGATGCAACCCTCAAGACTGTAAAAAAAAAACAAGCAAAGAGAAACCGATCTACCATTTCTTCCATCTTCTCAGATGTTCTGACTTGCCAAGTATCTTTACTGGGAGATCCAGTAAAAATAATATCAAATCAAGTACATTATTCCCAGCTCACATTCATTTATGTTCCAGTGCTGTGCTAATAGATTTCAACTGTCACATACCAGGGAGGAAGAATTTAACTAGTATGGGCACCTGGGTCTCATTCTKCTGAATGTCTCTAATAACAGCAAGAGCAGATGATAGAAATCAGTATCTCATTTGGTGATAGCTCTCATTTGGTGTTTTGTCTTGTTTAGATTTTGTGATGCTGGGAATTGAACCCAGGGCTTTTCACATGTTAAGCAAGCACTTTAACACTGAGTACATGCTCAGCCCCTTGGTGTTTGGTTTCTTTTTTTTTTTTTTAAGTTTTTTTTTTTTAAGAGGGAGTGAGAGAGGAGAGAGAGAGAGAGAATTTTTAATATTTATTTTTTTTTTCTAGTTCTCGGCGGACACAACATCTTTGTTGGTATGTGGTGCTGAGGATCGAACCTGGGCYGCACGCATGCCAGGCGAGCGCGCTACCGCTTGAGCCACATCCCCAGCCCGGTGTTTGGTTTCTTGATCACTTGTTTTGATGTTAGTTTCCTACAGAACTGAATATTTAAAGATATAAAATTTAGAAAAGAGAGACATATCTGGGTGTGGTGGTACATACCTGTAATCCCAGCCACTTGGGAGGCTGAGACAGGAGAACGATTAAGTTCAAGGCCAGCCTCAGCAACTTGGTAAGACCCTTAGAAATTTAATGGGACCCTATCTTGAAATAAGAAATTAAAAGGACTGGGATATACCTCTGTGATAAAGTGCCCCTGGGTTCACTTCCCAGTACCAAAAATAAATAAATAGTTAAATAATAATAATAATAAAGAAAAACCAAAGAAGAGAGAGATGCAATTGTTTTTTTGATAGAACATGACCCTTAATTACAAGCCAAGTGCTTCATTTAAGGCATTAGCTGTTAGAATCTTTTGACATCATTCAGTTTTCCTCGTCTAACACACAAGCATTGATACACTGAATCCTCACAACAAGACTGAAGTAAGTACTGTTATTTCCATTAACCAAATGAAGAAACTGAGGCTCAGACAGGTAGAGACATCTGTCCAAGGTCACACAGCTAGAAAGTGGTATTTGAAACCAGGCCTATCAGATCCCAAAGCCCAACATCTACCTAACTGCTCTGCATTGCCTCATAAAAACATGGCTTCATTTCCACAGCTGAGCCAGCCATTCTCCCTTGAGAGAAAGGCCAAAAGCAGCTCTGCTGAGCTGGATCCCTAGGAAACCTTCCTTGTTCCCCTGGGTAATGGGCAGAAACAGGTCCATCACCTGATGCCCTGTCATCAAAGCCCTGGAGTGATCAGAGGCCTAGTTCAGAAAAACCCAGAGGATCTAGCCCAGGTGATATGCTCATCCTCCTCATCACCCAGGTCCTCAACCCTTGCCCTGCTTGCACCTACCCCACCTACACCCCCACTTTCTCCTAGCTCTGTGCAGAGCTAAGGGGTCATGGGGTTAGAGAGGTGACCAGGAGGCTTAGAAAAAGTAGGGAAACCTGGGCTCCAGAACTGGATTTATCTCTGTGTGATTTGGGGAATGCCCCTTCTCTTTGTGGCCTCCGAGCCTCCCTCTGCACCGTGAGGGACTTGGGCTTAATTTGAGTGATCTCTGGACCCATTTACAATAAAAGGCCCAGGCTTAAATGAACGCATGTCTTGCCACAGGGATCTCAGGTTTTTATTGGCAAGGAGAGATGTTTTTCTAAGTGGTTACCCAGTTGTCTCMGCCCCCCATGGAAAAGCCTATCCTTTCCCCCACAGATTTGTCATGCTGTCTGTCATTATGTAACCAGACTGATTTCTACGCTGTCTCTTGGAGCCCATTGATTTGTCTATCGCTGCACTAACAGCACATGATCTCACTGTCACTTTATAGCAAATCTTAGTATTTGATAGAATGAGTCTCCTGTCTTGTTCTTCAACATTATCTTAAGGGCTGTTGGCTTTTTGTCCTTCTTTACACATATGAGAGTCAGCTTGTCAGGTTCTACAGAACCCTGTTGGGATGTGATGGGAGGAGTACACTGCACTGACAGATTTGGTGATAACTGACAATTTTATGATTCTGAGGTTTGCCCCTCTCAGCAGCTCCCTTGAGAAGCAGTGTTGTGTGACCTGGGCCCCCAAGTCAGAGCTAGGATACAATCTCAGCTCTCTGATACAGGACATAGGAATCACCACACAACTCTGAACCTCAGTGTCATCTACTGCAAAACAAGAATGACAAGTGCACCACTTCACTGCTGGGCATGAGAATTAAATAAGGTCATGCATGAGAAGCCTTAGCACAGAGCTCTGTATGCAGTAGGTGCTCAGCGAGCAGAACCTGCTTATTGGTAATTATCTCCCTTTGTTCCTCTCACCAAACTTGGTTGTCTCCGCTTCCTGGATGTTTTGCCAAGGATGCTCTTATCCCTTGTAAAAATCAGGGACAGGGTGGTGTGTGTGTGTGTGTGTGTGTGTGTGTGTGTGTGTGTGTGTGTGAGAGAGAGAGAGAGAGAGAGAGAGAGAGAGAGAGATAACTTCCTGCTACTTCTCAATATCTTCCCCCATATTGTCCTAGGAGCTCAGAACCCAGGCTTGCATCCTGACTCCAGCTCAGTGAGGTGTTGGGGCTGGTGGTTGCTCCTTGTTAGAGTAGGGAAGGGAAAGGCAGTGGAGAAACCCAACTCCTTGGGCCCTGTACCTGCTGAACCCTTAGGTCATAAGTGCAGTCCAGATGAAATGACACATAGGAAGGAGGAGATAGTCTAGGCATGGAGGCACAAGCCTATAATCTCAGCAAYTTGGGAGGCTGAGACAGGAAATTACAATTTTGAGGCCAGCCTCAGCAATTTAGCAAGGCCCTTAGCAACTTAGAGAAAACCTGTGTCAAAATAAAAAATAAAAAGGGGTGGGGACATAGCTCAGTGGTAAAGCACCCCTGGTTCCAAAAAGAAAGGGGGAGAGAGAAGAAATGACAGACAAGATAGAATGGAGACAAAGATCGCCTCCTGGAAGAGATACCTGGGAGAGGCCAGAGCCCCAGGGTGGTTGTCCTGTTGTCCTCTAAACTCACTGGAGCCCCAAGCCTTTCAGACAGTTCTAGGGGTTGGGTGGAAGATGGCTGCTCTCACCTTGTGAGATCTTCCTGAAGACACTACCTGGTCTTTCACCACCTTCTTCCCCTCTCTGGCCAGCCAGAAGAGGGCCTGGGAGAGGAGGAGGACAGATGGAAAAGGCAGATGTGGATACTCACCAGGCAGGTTGAGGGTTCCATCCCCAATAAGGAGTAGCAGCAGCAGAGGCCAGCAGCTGCCCATGTCTGTGCTGGTGGATGGCCCCAGAGGGTGCTGGGAAGAGTTCTGGCCTGAGCAGGGGAATGGACAGATGGACAGCAACTCCAAGACAGGAGGCCTTGCTGGCTCTGGTGCTGCCTGTTCTCCGTTGCCGAGCACACTGCTCATCCCTAGCTATCAGACCCGTTCCCTGCAGGCCCCAGAGGGCTTTTCAGAACAGGAACCAAGGCTGAAGGGAGGGGGATGAGATAGTTTCCCATCAACTGCAATCAGCGGACCTCTGGGGACTRTCATTCCAACAGGTGAAGATCCCCAAGGTCCCCAATTGTCAGCCTTTGCTGAACAACGGGACAGAACTCTGGGCCATCCAGACTTACCCCAACCTAACACCAGGGCACTTGAATGATTCCCTGGATCTCCCTCCTCCTGGCCTAAGAGATGACCATTTGAGAATCCAAGTCTCCTGTCCTCCAAGGACTGCCACAGCTTTCTTAATCTATTGCCTGGTTCAGCAACCTGCTGAGGCTCCCAATGGCCTTTGGTGTGAAGATTCTAGATAGGCTTCAACAGGTCCCAAGTTCCCCAAGAGACTTCACCTGACCCACGAGATCCTCCTGCTTTCTTCTAGCAAAACTCAGTGCTGCCTTCCTCCAGGAAGCCTGCCACAACCCACATTTTTAAAAACATTTATTTATGTATGTATGTGTGTATGTATGTATGTATGTTACGCTGAGGATCGAACCCAGTGTCTCATGCATGCGAGGCAAGCACTCAACCACTGAGCTACAACCCCAGCCCCAGAACGCACATTTTAACCAGTTAATCTCCATCGCCCAAGGACAGAGCTGCTTATACATAACTGCATAGCTTAGTCAATCGTGACCCCATCAAAGTAGGGCTCCCCAGAGTGAAGACCCTTCTCCACCTTCAGACAGAGAAAGAGAGAGTAGTACTATATCCTTTAGCAGACAAGGGCTCCCAGGCAGGGAGTCCAGATTCACCCCCTCACCAAAATTTAGAATCCTATGGGCTGGGGTTATAGATCTCTACCATTAAGTAAGAAATGTTCAGGGGGATGGATATTTTTCCCCCACATTCCTCTTGAAGCTCCTGAGGGCATCAGATGAACTGACCTTGAGGGGCAAAGTCTATCTTCCTCATCAGACCTGGGGCAAGTAGCCAAAAGGAGTGGAGACCTAGGGGTGCAAGTACCAGTCAGACACTGATTCCAACTCAAAACTTTATTGTCAATGGACAGCACGTGACCTCACTGGTCTTGGCAGGTGGGCCTTTCTCTTCTTGGTGCTTGGTCCATTTAGGCTGTATCCAGCTCTGAGCTGGAACAGGGGTCTGGAATACCCACCCTTAGGCCAAGTCCTGGCTACTGTGGCCAGTACCCCCTTTCTCACGCATCTTTGCCGCTAGGGCTCCCACTTCATCCAGCATCCTTCTCCATCCTGGCTCCTCTGGACCTGGGACTCACAGGTACAAGCCGTGCAGAGGTTGCCACCCTCACAGCCCCTGGGCCTCGGCCTCTGGGTAAGAAGAGCCTGGGCTCTTGCCAGCCTGTGCCAAGCCATGCTGGGGATGCAGGAAACTGCAGAGCTGGCTGTGTGTGTGCTCGGCTCCCTCCTGCAGTTTCAATAGCTGAATTTCTGTTTGTTAAGCAGCATATTTGTGACAGATTCATAAACCTGTAAACCCAGAGGTCTTTTTGTCAGTCCTTATTCTGACATGACAGATTTCTTTCCTCCCCACCTCCAGTCCCAACAGCTGTCCCATTCCAGGGCTTTTAGGGAAGTCCTTCATAGATCTAACGCCAGCTGACTGGTAGCCCACTCTGMGCTGGTGAGCCTAGGTATTCACCAGGCTTCAGGTCATCCTGTCTCAGCAGATGGGGTGGAGGCAGAGAAAGAAACTAAATTAGGCTAGTGTGTGCACTTGTTCTATCCAGAAGCTTCCTCTTCCAGGAGGAAGCTGCTCTTATGCACCCTGGGTGGGATCCAGGAGTCTTTTGCCCATAGATGAGTTAAGCATCTAGCTCTAAGGAGAAGCTGAACTGGCTCAAACATACCAAGAAGAGGTGGGTTTGTAGGCGTTAGAGAACTAATGGGCTTCTAGGGTGGAGCCTAATGGGAGGGGCAGAGCTTCTCCCTAGAAGGAACAGGTAGACCTTAAACCCATTGGGCAGCCACAGCTGGGATGGGAGGGAGTTTAGGGGAGGGCTGATTTTGGGACTGCGACAGATTTCCCACCCTGGACAAAAGGCCCAGTGGCTGGGCTGGACTGGGCAYGGACGTGGGGCGAGTGGGGATTGGGTGGAGGGAAGATGCACCTTTTCCCTGGTAACTAGCGCAGAGAGCAAGTCTTGCTTGGTAGCCATACTGTACACGTCTATAGAGGAACGGGTCTCCATCGACGTGCTCACCGACAGGCGCCTGTGCAGAAGCACCTCCTCCTGCTCCTGGTTGAAGCGAATGGAGCGCACCTCATCTATGATCCTGGGGAGCGGGGAGTGCGTTAGGGGCGTTGGAGGAGGGGAACAGCCCTTCCACCTCTTCCTTGGTAAGTGCCCCTTCGTTGTATCCCTCACCCCCTGCAGAGCACCAGACCATGATGTGTGAGATGGGAGGAACCGGAGGTCAGGATTCCAGCTCCTCCAGCAACAGGTTGGGGGACCCTGGACAAGTCACTTAACCTCTCTGGGCCCCAGGATCCTCATTAGAAAATAGTGGGGGCCTGAGGCCAGAAGAATCTGAGTTTCCGCCCAGCCCTGACTCCTGGGACTCTTGGTGACCCCAGGACTCCTGCCCCCCTACGTGTTAAGCTCCTCTCGGATCTCCTTGTACTGCATCAAGTTCTCCTGTATCGCCTCAAGCACCAAGCAAAAGTTGTCGCACGTTTTTTCCGAGAGGTTTGACAGGGGGCCCCCCTCAAGAGGTTCCTGGGGGACACCAGATTTCTCCAAGCGGGCTACTGCACAGTGCACGATTGGCAGCTCATCACCCCAGTCTTCCTCCTTCTCTGCGCCTGCCTGGGGGAGGAGGGATGGAGAGCTCAGACCAAGGGAGGACCAGTCTCTAAAGACAGCAAGGTTCTAATGCCCCTCATTTCAGCTCCAATTTTTTTTTTTCTTCTCTGCCTCTCAGGATGGGACCCAGGGCATGGCAATGGCTCCCACTGAGCTCCACCTTCAGCCTTCAGCTCCAATTCCTCTGGCCTCCTGACCTTGCTCCCGGCGTTCAACTACAAATGCACAAGTCCATCCTTCATGCTTTGGAAATTCTCACCCCTTTCTAAACTTAGCCACTCCCCATTTCACCCCGATAAATCCTACCAGCAAGTTTCTAAAGCCCTACCTACTCTCAAGTCACAGAGCCCAGCCTTCAACCCTTCCAGAATTTTCTGTCTTCTCCGATCTCATGGAAGCTCTACCCCTGAATGAATAGGACTGAATTAACTGACACCACGTGCCAAGCAGCCTTCGCTCACCCATTTACTCCTATGAGCCCTGTGAGGTATGTAGTAAGTAAGTGCTATTATTATTCCCATTGTACAGAAGGGAAAATGAGGTTTAGATTGGTTAAATGCCCTAAGACCACCCAGCTGCACCATTTTGAGTTGTCATAGAAACTTAGAAAATCCACTCCCCTTAGATGCCCCAGTTAGTAGGTGGGCGGTTCAGATGAGAGGCTGCTGCCTCCAGGTCTCTGTTTCGCCTTTCTCCAGGCCCTTGAGTGTGCAAGCACACGGACATGTGCTCTAGTCAGTGCTTATGCACACACTCCTTTTCCTCCCCAACCCTCCCATCTCACGCACCTCCCTAAAGATTATTCGATGCTCCTGCTGCTGCTCTCCTGCCTTCATCATTTGTTCCAGATTGGTGGTCACCACGACGACGAACAGGTTGATGCCAATGAAGGCACCGATGGTGATGAAGATGGCAAAGTAGATGGCAGCCCCAATCTCCATTGTGTACTCCCTATCCTCCATCCTGGAGATGGCAGGCAGGGCCGCGTCACCTTCCTCGCTCTTTGAGCCTCAGTTTCCTCATCTATGAAATGGGGAAATTATCCCAAGGCCCTCTGGGACTTCTGCCTGCTTGGCTACTATTGCCAAGATCTAATTCTCTACTCCCAGTTGTCATCGCAGCTGCTCCTTACTGTGCTGCTAGGCAGTGGGTCAACTCTCAAACCAGTCCCGCAAGGTGATCTGCCACATCAGCATTATCAAGTTTAATCTATTAGCTGTACTATTATTCATGGTTTTTCTTACTTTGAAAACTAATTCAAGTTCATTGTAAAAAGATTGGAAGAAAAACACATAGGCAAAAAAAAAAAATCCCATCTCCTGAGTTATCCACTATTAATACCTTGTTGAAAATTTCCCCTAAAATATTTCCCCCAAATATAGTCCCCTGTACCAGGCTCTATACTAAGAGATTGATACAGATTTTCTCTATTGATCCTCACAGCAATCCATGATATAGTTAATATGTGATTGTAATCCCATTTAACAGGGAAGGAAACTGAGACTCAGAAGAGAGATGAAGTAACTCGCCCAAAGTCACATGATTAGTATGGTAGAGCAAGAACTCAAAAGCCCAGTGCAACTTCACTGTGAGATGTGCAATTCTCTTCCTCTACCTACAACTTAATGAACCAGGACTGCAGAGGCCATTTATCAACAAAGCTTCTACTCTCACCTGAAGGGGATAAAAATAAGTCACTGATAGTCATGCAGGTGGTATCATCCCAGCCACTCGGGAGGCTGAGGCAGAAGGATCACAAGTTTGAGGCCAGCCTCAGCAACTTAGTCAGGACTGGAAAGAAATAGGACTTAGACTTAATCAGGAAGAGGTAAAGGACAGAACACAAAAATAACCTTGGGTAGTAGGTTTAAAAATGAAGTTTCCACTAAGGAGCTGAAAAGACACTTTTCAGAAGAAGATATACAATCAATCAACAAATATATGAAAAAATGTTCAACATCTCTAGTAATTAAAGAAATGCAAATCAAAACTGCTCTAAGACTCTCACTCCAGTCAGAATGGCAGTCACCAAGAATACACACAACAATAAGTGTTGGCAAGGATGTGGGGGAAAGACACACTCATAAATTGCTAGTGGGACTGAAAATTGGTTCAGCTAATCTGGAAAGCAGTATGGAGATTCCTTAGAAAACTTGGAATGGAACCACCATTCAGCTATCCCACTCCTCAGTCTATACCCAAAAGACTTAAAAATAGAATACTATAGAGACACAGCCACATCAATGTTCATAGCAGCACAGCTCACAATAGCCAAACTGTGGAACCAACCTAGATGCCCTTCAATAGATGAATGGATAAAGAAACTGTGGAATATATACACAATGGAATATTACTCAGCAATAAAAGAGTAAAATTATGGCATTTGCAGTTAAATGGGTGGAGTTAAAGAATATCATGCTAGGTGAAGTAAGAAATCCCCAAAAACCCAAAGGCTGAATGTTTTCTCTGATAAATGGATGCTAATTCATAATGGTGGGGATGGGGTATGGGATGAGTGGAGGAAACTTTGGATGGGGCAAAGGGGAGAAGGGAGGGAGATTGGGGGTAGGAAAGATGGTGGAATCAGATGGACATCGTTAACCTAGGTACATGTATGATTGCACAAATGGTGTGACCCCACTTTGTGTACATCCAGAGATGTGAAAAAGTGTGCTCCATTGGTATCCAATGAATAGAAGAGCATTCTGCTGTCATGTATAACTGGTTAGAACAAATAAATAAATTTTAAAAAATGAGCTTCCAGGGCCGGGGTTGTGGCTCAGTGGTAGAGCACTTGCCTAGCATGCATGAGGCACTGGGTTCGATCCTCAGCACCACATAAAAAATAAAATAAAGATATTGTGTCCACCTAAAACTAAAAATGAGTTTCTAAGAGCCCAGGCAGTTTGGTGGACTCTCTTGTGGGCTGGAATTTGCCCTGTGACCACAGACCTACTCCCCAGTCCAAGGCCTAGCCACCCAGCTGTTTAGCATGACAGGAGAGGTCTTCACAAACAGGGTCTGGTGGCACTTTGAATATGTGGAATTTCAAGGGGGACAAGGATCACAAACTCAGAAATCCCACCCACAGGTATTTCCTTTTCCCCAACTTAAAGCCTTGGCCACCCGCTTCCTGACAGGCCATCCCAGCCCTGGAGGCCCCCCTCTCACTGCGAGCCCTTCTCCCCACCCAGTTCCCCTGCCTTTCAGGAGCTGTGGTCCCCTGCTTGCCAGGCTGGGGTGAGAGCCTGGAAGGTGCGCCCTGTACTYACTGAAAGTCACTGTAGATGTCCAGCCAGCCGTCCTGTGTGATGCAGATGAAGAGAGTGTACAGGGCCACGCCCATGTTCCGGAAATGCTCAGGCACGAATGCACCAAAGAGTGTGACCCCAAACACTGAGAACACCTGCCAGAGAGACAAGGCCCCCCTAGATTCACCCAGGGGCCCTGAAGAGAAGACATGCAAATACATGCAAATTTTAAACAAAAGCTGCCAAGGGAATCCCAGGGATTCGGACCCCTGGGCCTCTCTTCTGCAGGACCCCTCCTCTCCCCAGTGACCCAGGGACTCTGTTCGGGGATGGGGAATGGCCAGGGTGGGGGAGGGTACTGACCAGCATAAAGAAGAGGATAAGGGCCATGATATTGGCCAGATCAGGCAAGGACTGCAGGATGACACGGATGATCCGGGCCAGGGGTTCCACCGCCATGCACACATGAACCAGGCGAAGCACCCTGCAGCAGAGCCCCTCAGGGGTGCCCCCTCAGTCCTTCCCAGACCTCTCCCTCCTCTCTGCCCTGCCACCAACGGCCCAGAGGCAGAGCTGAGCCCCAGCTGTTAACAACCTCCCTCTTTTCATTCCTGAGTCCAGACACGTTCCCCCTCTCTTCAGAGCTCCCAGCTCACCTGAGTGTGTAGGTGACAGCCATGACACCAAGTTCTTTGATGAAGAACCCCATGAGCAAGATAAAGACGATAATGAAGTTGAGGATGTTCCAGCCGTCCTGGGGGGTAGGGGCACACCTCTCCTGAGTCTGCCCTCCCCACACCCTGAGGATGGGGAGCTCAGTGTTCTTCTCAGCGCAGGGCCAGCCAACTTCCATCCAGTGCTGTCACCCTGCCGCTCCACCCCACAGCATGCCACAAAACACACACGCAATCACTGTCCCATCCATGTGTTGAAAGCCAAGTGCCACCTTAGAGACTCACAGTGGAGTCTCACACACACACAGCTGAATGCCACCTGCCTAACCAACTGCAGAGGGCGGCCGTGGCCTACAGTTGGTGACCTGAAAACACTTGGGTGCTCCTGCCTTTACAGTTAATAAAATGGAAGTAAACACTAATAAAAACACCCAAGATCACTGAGGCCGGGGAGAGGTAAAACAGCACTCCAGGAACCCGGAAGGGAGACAGGCAAATTCTGTGAGCTCTGTGTCCAGTATGGCACCTGCTCATACGGGAATGGAGAAGGTGGGGGAAGTGCACTTGTATGAAAGATTTTACCTACAATCCCACTTCTGGAAATCTAATGGGCAAATTCTCCGGTATAGGTACAAAATGACATTTGTATAAAGTTGAAAATGTCCAAAGTGCCCATTGGTTGGAGACTGGCACATTTATTTCATGGAGTACGATGTACCACAAAAAGACAAATAAGATAGATCACCATGTAGGATTGTCAGAACTGGGCACAGTGGCACAGGCCCTTCATTCCAGCAACTCGGTAGGCTGAGGCAGGAGGATCACAATTTCAAGGCCAGCCTGGGCAACTTGGCAAGGCCCTGTCCCCCCCCCCAAAAAAAAAAAAAGGGCTGGGAGCATCGGTCAGTGGTAGAGCGCTCGCCTAGCATGTGCAAGGACCTGCACATTCAAGTACTGGAAAGAAAAAGAATAAAGAAGGAAGCAATAAAGATTGTCAGTGACTAAACTACAGCACAGGACAGTGTTGACAGTTAGCTACTGTCAGGAAAAGGAGGACTAAAAATACATACCCATTTGATATGATTGTAAAAATAACTACTGGGAGGATAAACAAGAGACTATAAATATAAGAAGATTACCTAGAGAGGGTGAGGGTGAGGGGACTGCAGTGGAAGCAAGAATTCTGTGTACCTTTCAATATAGTTTTGACCAATATGTATCTACGAATCTGCATTAAATATACAAAAAAAGAAAATATATTTATTTATTTATTTGATACAGGGGATTGAACCCAGGAGTGCTTAATTACTGAGCCACATCCCAAGTCCTTCTTATGTTTTATTTTGAAACAGGGTCTCACTAAGTTGCTGAGGATGGCCTTGAACTTGGGATCTTCCTGTCTCACACTCCTAAGTCACTAGAATTAAAAGTGCGCACCACCACACCAATTCTCTGTCTCTTAGAATTTGTGCCTGCACATACACATATATAGACAGGCAGACACAAGCCCAACTGTCTACGAATCTATCCTTTTGTCCATCCATTATTAAGTTCCTACTGTATGCCAGATCCTGAATCATTTCCCGAGGATGCAAGGTTTCTGCCCTGCTGGGCTCAAAGACCACTTAAAGGGATGTGGACCTACAGCAAATTTTAACTCCATGTGAGATAGATAAGTACACATTATCATGGGGACAGAACAGCATCTGGCCTAGCCTGGGAGAGATGGGAAGATTCTTCCCAAGGAGAAGACATCCCAAGGGATCTGTAAGTAGAAGTAAAGCAAGTGAAGAGGAAAAATTGGAAGAGTATTTTGTGACACATGAAAATTATATGAAATATAATTTTCCCTATATAATGTTTTATTAGAATAGAGCTGGGCATGGTGGTACATAACTGTAGCCCAAGCTACTCAGGAGGCTGAGGAAGGAGGATCATATGGGCCCAGGAGTTTGAGGCCAGCATGGGCAACACAGCAAGACCCCATCTCAAAAAACAAGAGTGGAGCATGTGGCACACACCTGTAATCCCAGTGATTCAAAGTTCAAGGCCAGTCTCAGCAACTTAGCTAGACCTTGTTTCAAAACAAAAAACAAAAAGGACTGGGAATGTAGCTCAGTGTTAGAGCACACTTGGGTTCAATCCCTATGACCAAAAATAAATAAATAAATAAATAAATAGCAAATAAACAAGAATCCCTGCTCCGGAGGAGGAGGAGGAGGAGGAGGAGGAGGAGGAGGAGGAGGAGGAAGGCTGGGGTTGTGGCTCAGTGGTAGCATGCTTGCCTAGCATGTGTGAGGCACTGGGTTCGATTCTCAGCACCACATACACATAAATAAAATAAAGGTCCATCAAAAACTAAAAAAATAATTTTTAAAAAAGATTCTTTGGAATACAAACATGCTCAGTCATTTCTGTACTATGACTGTCTTTATTAAGCAGAGGTGGGTCACTGCAACAGAAACTGTGGAGGCCGTGAAGCTTCAAATATTATTCTGGTGCATTACAGAAGTTTGCTGACTCCTGCTCTGGAGCTCTGTAAATCAATCTCATTTCTCAGATGCAGAAATCAAACTTTGCCCAACTAAAGAGCTGGAGGAGGCTGGAACAGGGATGGGAACTCAAACCCAGGGAGGCTGCACTTCAAGTACAATTTATCATCCAGTGTATCACAAGCATTCAAAATTCTCTCCCCCCCTCCCCTCTCTCTCCACACACACACACACACACACACACACACACACACACACACAACCTCAGTTTGCAGGGCAGAGAGAAGAGGTGAAGGTGACAAGGTCCCAAGATCTCACCTTCCAGAAAATCCAAAAGCCATTGAACCAGCCGAGGAGAACCTCACAGACAAGGATGGTCAGCACAATGTCATCTATGGTAGAGAACAACTGATAGTGTCTCTACACGGAAGATGGAGAAAAAGAGAGGGGCCGAGGTGTCGGTGAACAGGGCTGGGGGGAGGCCAGGGAGAAGGGCRTCTGGCGGGGTGGGGAGGCCCAATCCCTGCTGCTTTTCAACTCTTCTGCATCTCTGTCCTTCCCGCGAGAACACACTCTGTGTCCAWGCCAGGCACTGTGCTAAGACCACTCATGCACTGTTCCTTGGGACCATCATCCCTGTCCTGCAGAGTAGCTTCCTTTCCCATCCTACAGGTGGGGAGTTAGAGAGGGGCCCGTGTGCACACAGCTTGTTGACTGCTGTCCACTCTAGGCCTTCACTCCTGACCTCTAGAGTAGGGTGTTTGGGAAAGAGAGGTGGAGGAGAGACCCAACTAGCTCTAGTATTGGAGGAAAAGGGCTGAGCCCTGAAATTGGAGGACACAGCCTGGGGCCCTTCTCTGCCTGTCCCAACCACTCCTGCTGTTCCAGTGCCTCAAGACCTTCAGGTCAGGCCTGACCAAACTCCTGGTGTCCTCCTGATTGTGGGTCTAGTACATGCTCTTGGGTGTGTGAATCAATGGGCAGATAACTAGGGTCTGTCCAAAAGACCCAACTCACTTCAACTCAACCTCAATCCTAACAGTTTGTCTATAGCTGTGACACCAACTAACAGCCCACAGCCCCCTAACTTCACGCTGACATCACGAAAATCACCTCTTCTCCTTCTCCTCCCTCTCTACTCCAATGGCCAACTAGACTCGGTGCCTTGGGGCTCGAGCCACACAGGGGGCCTCCCCCTTCTCTTTGCACCCCTCTCTCCTTCCCCCTCCAACTCCATTATCAAAATGGTGGTGGCATTTGCACTCTGAATTCATTTCCTGAGCCATAATGGTTCCTGACCTGTCCTCTGCTCTCCTCACTCTGCAAACATTGCAGTTGAGTTTCTGCCTCCAACACGAGAGAGATGACTCTGGTGCAGGTCAGGGGAGGCGACCAGGCCTCACCTCTCCACCGCTGGCCCTGTTGCCTGTTCCCTTGATTGGCACTCTCCGTCCCACTCCACACCCCTGAACAATCTCAGTCCTACTCCTTTGGCTTCCTTATAGGTGTGACCTCACTGACAACCCTCTGTGTTAGCTATTGTATGGACACCTCGGATACCACACTGACCTCCATGTGGTCCCCAAACCTGCTTTTCCTCTCATCTCCACATTCAGACACACAGCGCCAGCCCTGATGCTGTTGCTCAAGCCAAAAGCTTCCCTTCCCTTCCTGCCCTCCCTTTGAATGAGATGGTGATATGTGAACACAAGGTGACATGTAATAAGTGCCCACTAAATGTTCAGTACAATATCATCCATCAGGAAGCTCCATGGATTCTACTCCCAGAGAGTTTCAAATGCATCTGACTTTTCACCCAATGCCATTGTCCTGGTCCAAGCCCCACCATCTTTCACCTGGACCTCTGCAACAGGGTCCTGCCTGGCCCATCTTCCCCCATTCTTGGACCTGTCCCTTCCATAGTCCACACCGTGGCTGCCACTGCAAGTTTTCTAAAACACATATCTGGTCATTTCACTTCAAGGACATCTTCCTTCTCATAACATGGGATCTGGCCCCTGACCACCTCTCTGAATTCAGCTGATGCCACCACAAGGGACATGTTATTTATTTTTGCAGTGTTTGGGATTGAACACAGCATCTGATGTGGGCTAGCCAAGTGCTGTACCACCGAGCCATACCCCCAGCCTAATACACTGATTTTTAGTAGCACAATACATATATGTATACTGTATAAGAAATTAAGATGTCAAGGATAAGAGCAAAGTTATACTAAACTTCAAGTTGGGCAAAGAGAACTCTCCCACATGCTGGCTCTTTCCCATCCCTCAATCTCTCTGCTATGCCCAGGGATCAAACTCAAAGCTTCCTGCATGCTGGGTAAATACTCTACCATGGAACTACATCCATAGCCCTTATGCTTTATTTTGAGGCAGGACCTCACTAAGTTGCTAAGGCTGTCCTTGAACTTGCAATCCTCCTGCCTCAGCATCCAGAGTCACCATGCCTGGTTCCCATCTCCCTTTGCCTGGCCAACCCCTACTTACTGTTTCCTGTCAGTGTGAAGCTCTTCTCCAGGAGGCCTTCCCTGACCTCCCACATTGAGTCGGACGGTCTTTGAGCTTCCACTTCCTCTGTGAGACTCGGGCATTTGTGATGGCGTGTTGGTGTCTGAGACAGGAACTGGGTTTTGTGTGCTTTTAGCTAGAACCTTGGCACTGAGTGGTCTGTGCCTGGCCCAGAATGATTCTCCCTTAGTGACTGCCAAGACTGGACACTGTTCCTCACCAGGTGCCCATCTGCCTGCCTCTGCCCACACGACTCTTTTCCTGCCCATCTACAAATCCAACCAATTTCTCAAAGCCGGTCTCCAGAGCTTCCTCCACCACGAAACTTCCTTGAYCTCCAGATCCCTAGAGGTCAGAGCTGACAGACCCTGAAAGCCTCCAATCCAACCATCAGTGACAGACGAGGAACTTGTGGCTCGAGAAGGAAGTGCCTTGCCCAGAACCCCACCAGAGCCAGTGGGGGCAGAGATGCAGACAGTGTCCCACCTGACCCAGGACAAAGTTGGTGCGGAGAGCGATGGTGATGGCGTTGACCACCAACAGCAAGGCCAGCAGCAGCTGGAAGGCTGGGTGCCGCAGTAGCTGCTTGACRTACATGCGAGTGATGAACTCCTGCATGTCCCACGCATCCTGGGAGGAGKCAGAGACCTTCCTTCAGGCAGGTGTCACCACAGCTTTGCTCTCCGTGTATGCGGGTCCCTGTGGGCCCGCTCTAGTTGCCTGAGATCATGGAATGCGGGCATTGGGGTGGAGGTCATGACATAAATGACCTAAAACAGGGTCACTGTTGGGGGGTATTTATGTGGCTGGTGGCACGAGAGTCTGTACTGGGGACGCTGCTGATGACTATCATGATATAAGGGTTCCTGTGGGGGGCACTGCAGGGGTCACTGCTGTGTAAGGCCGCCTTTCGGGGCATTAAGAAGGTAGAGGAAGGCCTGGTCTGTCCATGAGCAGGACTATAGAAAGGGCCTGAGGGATGAGGGTCACCGAAGGCCCCAGCCCAGCCCAGTCCTTACCTTTTCACTTGAGATGTCCCTGCGGTTGATGAGCACTTGCTCCTCGTGCCGTATGAAGGGGTCATGCATGGTCCTCTGCAGGAGAGAGAAGAGGGCCCTCAGTGCAGCCACTGCCCCTGCCCAGCCCAGGATGCCAGCTCCGTGACAGGGCGAGGCAAGGGCCTTGTACCAGTAATTTCAAATGTTTGACATTGGTGGTGTCTGTCCATTGCTGCCACCAGGTCTTTTGGTTCRCGGCCATCTTCGCTCTGTCCACATCCACTCCTCCTTTTCCAAGAAATGTCCCTCCAAACAGTCTTGCTCCCTCTCGTGGTGAGATCACAGAAGCAGCTGTGATCTCTAGCGTTCTGCATTCTACCAAGGTTCCAGCTCCAGAAGCTCCTTCCATTGCCCCTGGCTGCACCCCACGGAGGATGCCAGGGATGGTCTCCTGCGCTGGCTGTGGAGTCAAGGGACAGGTCCCTGCTCTGGATCTCTGAGATGAAGGTGAGGCTGGGATGAGAAATAGAGAGATGTTTTGTGGCAGGATCTTCCCCGAGGCAGACCTCCACCTGCACCCCTCCCTCCAGGGCTGCACCCCTGCCCTTCATGCTGGGTGTGTTTCCCCATCGACTAATGTGTTTCCCCCTCCCCCTTGTCCTCCCTGGGCAAGGGGGAGGGGAGCTCTTCTGGCCTCCTAAGGACTAAGGATGGATGGATGTGAGTAGGAGCCTTTCTTAATCATGGAGCAGAGCTGGTGGGCAGGAGCTTCAGGTATAGAGCCCAGGCCAATGAGCTGTGGGGGGGGGCAGTTGTCACCCACCCTCCAGAGGAGAGCCATCCCAGACCCCTCTGAGAAGCAGACTCCTTATTCTAAAGTAAAGGTACACACAGATTCATTTTCAAGAAATTAACTTTATTTGGTTGGAAAAGTGTCTCTTATGTAAAATAAACACTCATCCAGACCTGGCATCAGGAAGGGTGCCCTGCTGAGGGAAAGGGGTCGGGTAGACTGTGCCCCTCAGGCCTGAATATGGAGGAGAGTTTCTTCTTCGAAGGGAGGAGGTGACACAAAGCTCACTTCCCCGGACTCAGGGGAGACAGGAGCAGAAATGGTGGAGGCCTAGGCAGAGGGGTCAGCTTGGCGAGAGACCATGCCTAGCACTGCTTCTAGCCTTGAAAAGAACCCAGAAAGCTCTGTCGACATGTCAGCAGTAGGGGTGAGGTGGTCCTCAGGGCCAAAGGTTAGGAGCTGGGGTTCTGGCCAGGGTCAGAGGTCAGGAGGTCAGAGGTTGCTCTCTGGGTCAAGGAGCAAAGATGGGAGGGCTCCTCAGGGTCCGAGGACAGGGGTTGGGGGGACTGTGCTCTGGAGTCAGAGGTCAGAGCTTGGGGGCTGCTCTCAGCCTGCACCAACCCCCAGGCCCCCAGGCCCTCTGAGTACAGCTCCTGGTTCTTCTCCTTCCACCGGCGGAATTTCTCTCCAGTCAGCTCGGGGTCACTCAGCACCTCCTCCAAGGCCTGCAGTTCCTGCAGTTTTGCCTGACATGGGAGTAGTGGGTAAGAAGCCATGATCATCCAAGGCAGCAGCAGAGCCCAAGCCCAGAGCTAACTCTGGAGTCCTGTACCTAGAACCCTGCACCTGGTCAGCCAGACACGAGAAGCCTGGGTAAGATTTCAAACCCCAGCTTAGACCTAGAACTTGGACCAGTCCACAGCTGAGTCTAAAATGGACCCTACAGCCCAGGACTGAGCCCACTGTTAAGAGCTAAGCCCAAGGGGCTGGGGCCTGGAGATGTGGCCAGYGGTAGATCACTCRCCTAGCATGCAAGAGGCCCTGGGTTCAGTTCCTAATTCCACCCCCGCCCCCCCAAAGAGCTAGGCCAAGCTCAGAACTGAGTTCCTGAGTCAGACCGCCAGAGCCCAGAGCCCAGAGCCAAGTTCCCGAGGAGTTAGAGAGCTGGAGGCAGGAACCCAGGGCTGAGGCTGCAGGCCAAATCCAGAGTGGAGCTCGGCCAGGAACAGCCTGAAGCCCACAGCCCTCCTCGCCGTGCCCAGTGCCCCCGCTGACCTTGAGTGTGCTYTGTAGGGCCCGCACACGGTGCACTCGCTCATTGAGGTGGGGGTCTCGGTTGCGCCGCATGAAAGAGCTCCGCCACTGCTCATGGGTCAGGGGCTGTGGCTGTCCCAGCAGGGACACGCCACCCTGCCTTAGTCCCTGTACCATTCCTTCCAGTGCCCCTTCACTGCTGTCTGTGGGAGCAGGGAGCAGGATGAGGCTGTGCCCTCAGCCCTCCACCCAGTGCCCAATGCCCAGCTCCCAACTCCAGTGAACACCTGCTGGAGGGCCGAGGGAGGTCCTGGGGCTGCGCTGTGTCGGGGAGGCCGCAGGTGATATGTCTCCATGGAGTGGACTCCCAGTTTGAGATGGGCTGGGCTGAGGCAGGRTAAAAGGAGAGAGAGCCACATCCTGAGCCCCGTGTCCAGCTATTCTCCCTCCATCCCTGACCGGAAGTGGTCCTCTACTCACCGAGGCTGAGCGGGACGCAGTCTCGTCATCAGGGTCTTCTGCTTCTGTCTCACTGTAGCAGTCTAGGGTGGTGGGGAGCAGGTGGGGAACCCACAGGGTTTGGGAAGGCCAGGGAGGAGGCTGRGGGCTTTAAGTTCAAGCCCCCAAACCAGGAACAGGAGAGGAGGCTCAGGTGAGACCTGATTCTTCCTCCCACCCCTGTGAGAGACCTACCTTCCTCTCGGGCTGAGGGGGCCCTGCCTGGGGACTGATACTTGGAAATGCAGGTAATGAGATGGCGAACCCACCTGTGGAGGAACAAACAGGTGTCAGGAGTTTCCATTCACTGAGGCCTTCTTATATCAGGGGATTTATATCAACATCATCTTTTAATCTTCAGACTAACTGGAAGAGGTGGGAACTCTTATTCACCCATTTTACGGATGATGAAACTGAGGTTTAGACAGCGAGCACCTTGACCAGCCACTGCCAGAGGGCTTGGATTTAGATCCAGGCTCCTGAGTCCAGCTCCTAAGCATTCAGAGTCTGGGAGCTATGCGGGAGTAGGGCGAGGGAGGTGGCACTCACCGGCTCAGATCAGACAGGGTGTCAGCAGCAAAGACAAAGGGTTTGTACACGTCATGGGTGAGCTGGAACACACTGCCAGGAGCAGAGAGCATCACTCAGCCTCCTCCAGGGCCTGGAATCCCAGCCACCTGCCATGCACCCCCCACCCCCCTTCTTTTCCCATCCTCCAGCCCGTCACACCCCAGGACTTAACTATTTTTTCTTCTGATCTTGTCCACTTTCCAGGCTATAGTTAGATACATTGATGAGGCCCTGAGCCTTTTCATCCTGGGGAATCACACAGAGGGTCAGTGTGGGGCCCCAAAACCCTCCAGGCAGCTCCTTAGTCACCCCTCAGACTGTTCAGGGAGATAGAAGGGAGACTGTGTTTTCTGGGCTCTAATTGCAAGTCTCTAGGTTTCTGGGCCTCAGGGAAGGAGGTGTAGCCAAATGGTGCCTCTGAGCCAGAAAAGAGGAACAAAGGTACCAAGAGAAACAGCTAAGAAAGAGGAACCCTCCTGCACTGGTTCCCACAGGAACACACGGCTGCTTCATTGCCCTGGGCTCGGCAAATGCTTGGTCCCTTCCCAGTTTTCTTTCTCCCTTTCATCTGACTAACTCCCAGGTATTATTTTCTCAGAGAAGCTTCTGGACTCCTTCAGGCTGGACTGGACACCTCTGCTGGGCTCCCACGTATCTCTTGGGCAAACATCTCAGCACATTTCCTACACTGCCTGGAGTATACGGGAGCCCACCCCMAGATCTTTCAAACTGCTTTTACACTTTTAACTCATTTTGGGAGAAACCGTCCCTGTTCTGCTGATGGGAACACTGGGACCTGGGAAGGCCTGGGGGCCACCTGTGACAATGGGAGCAGATGACTTGCTTGCTACCAATGCCYGTGTGTGTGGTGTCTCACCTGGGGCTGCTGGTACCAGTAGAGCATGTGTCCCTTAAGCACAAACCAGCAGCGGCGCCAGCGTGGACCCATGAAGCCGCCAGGGGCCTTGCGCAGCAGGAGCCAGCCATCACAGTCTGGCTGGCCCAGCTCCCGGCAGGACACCCGCCGGCGGCTCAGCCTCGTCGCCACCCCTGCAAGCAACGTGGCACAGCCCAGGTGGTGAGGGGCTGGCAAAGAATTCCAGCCCCCAAACTGGTTCCCTTGCCCGCCATGAGCATCCCCGAGACATATGAACCCACACTTTGGGGGCACAATTCTGCTGAGGTGGGGACCACTCTCCATTTTAGAGATGAGGAAACTGGAAATCAGAGAATAAGCCATTTGTTCAAAGGCACAGAGGTCTGGGCTGGGAGCACGGTCTGTGTGACCCCAGAAAAGAGCTGTTTCCAGGACAGGCTGGGTGGGAAGCATGAGGGGAGGTCTTGCCCAACTCTGCAAAGGTTTCGAGAGCTCCTCATTTCAGGGATACAATATGCCACCCGGTCAGGGACACTCGTACCTTTTGATTTCTTCCGACCAAGGACAGGACTCTAAAAGGACCATATAGGGGTTAGAAAAGGGTCTAGGCCCTCAGCCCACATCCCTCCTTGCAGATCCGCTGAGCTCACCTTGTCAGGGTGTCCCGAGGGGCCTGGAGTCTCTGCTATTCCTGCTGGGAGTGCAGTGGGGCTGGGCAGGGGCTCAGGGTGAAGGGAGGTAGAATCTGTCAGGGAGGGAGCGGGAGGGTGTCAGCATCTAGGGTCAGAGTCAGGCACTGGGACACTTGCCAGGGGCATCCACTACCTGGTAGGGTTTGAAACTACCTGTCCAGGCAGTGGTGGGCTCCGGACTTGGGTCTGAAGTCAGGTCAAAGGCAAAGACGTCTTCAGATGGGACTCTGGGGAGAGCAAGGGGAGATGAGATGCGTCCATGGTCCCCCCAAGAAGACACACCCAGGGCAGATCTGTTACCTGGGAGACAGTGGGGCCAGAGCCAGCGACTGGCTTCTCAGGTGTGGGGAGTCCAAAGGCGTCTGGGGAACAACCAGAAACAGGGTGACCAGGCTGACAACAGGGGTCTGAAAGCAGGTGGGGGTGGATGGGGACAGGTACCTCGGGGGGTGTCTCTGGCACAGGGATCTTCTTCAGCACTAAGCTGACCCCGGCTGGCTCCCGTAGCAGCTCCCTCAGCATGTTCTTGCGGGGCCAGCCCACCTAGGGGACAGGGGTGCCGGGAGGGGCAGAGGCACTGGGTTGGCATCAAGCTGGGCAGGAGCTCTGATGCAGCCCAACAACCCCTGCCTTCACGCTTGGAGCTGTGAGCTTCCTGCTTCTGCCTCACCTCACGAAGCCTCCAGGAGGCCACCAGGAGCCCTTCACCTTGGTGGCTCCTCAGAGGCAGGGGAGACCGCCTGGGGAAGGATCAGCTGAAAAGTGGGTGGGGCTGTCACCTAGGATCCAGTCCTGACCTTCCAGAGCTGGGTCATCACGCAGAAAGCAACTCCCACAACCCTGTCCCCTCAAGGGACAGCAYCCCCACTGCTCCCCACCAGCCCTGGGTTTCCTCACTAGCCCCCTCCCCTCCACACAGCCCCCTCCCCTCGCTCACCACCACCTGCTCGTTGATCTGAACAACCTCATCTCCAGGCAGGACCTGCCGGCAGGAGTCAGTGGGGACCTGGAATGGAGATGGGGACCCAGGAGTGAGCTTTCCTGGGGCCTGGAGCTGGCGTGGCCGCAGGTGACAGGCCTCAGGGCTGGGTAGCTGGCAGGGTGGGGGTGCTCTCACCTGGGCGCACACTCGGGACACAAAGTGCAAGCAGTTACTGGTGGTGTAGATTTCCACGCCCTGAAGAGGCAGAGGCTAGGGTCACTGAGGGCTTGATTCTAAGGTGGGTGGAACTGGGGACAGAGCTGGCCCCAAGAGCACACTGCTCCAACTTGCTGTGTCACTTTGGGCTTGCTGCTCCTCTCTGGTCCTCTGTTTCACCCTCTGATAAAGGGCCAGGAGGAAGCTGGGGTCACTGCTTTCTGAGGTACTAGATTCTCGGCAACTTTCTTGAAGGGAGAGAGAGGGATGGGGTGGGAGAGGGGCAGGGCTGGGGGCTCTGATTTTCCCAACTGGTTAGGATTAAAGCAGAAAAGTTCATGTCCTCTCCCCTGTATCCTAACCTGCCCCTGACCCTCTGCCAGGTCTGTGTCACAGAACACAGGAACATGCCACCTGAGACCATGCCATGCAGCCCCTCAGGACTGGGGAAGGTGCTGGATGATGGTGAGATCCCAGGTAGGTTGTCTGGACCTCTGTTTTAATATCTGTACCTGATAGGTTTCCAGCTACCAGTATAGGAGGCTGGGGATCTTAGACCCCATTTCAGGGCCCAAAGTGTCAAGGGCTCAGAAGTGACAGGTGACAGGGCAGGGCTCACCGAAGGCTCTTCCAGCTGCACCTGCTCCAGCACAGCCCTCTGCTCCAGCAGCTCTTCTGGGCTACAGCTCAGGATGCTGCGGCAGATCTCGGCCACTTGGCTGCACTGGGGAAGGGAGCAGGTTGTGAGGCTGAGCCTGATCGCAGCCCACCCTGCTCCCTCCGCACTCCACAGCACCCCACAGACTCACGATCCTCAGGACTCTCCTTTCCTTCTCGGCCTCTGGGAAGTCCTAGAAGCAGAGAGAGGAGTGTAAGGGTCATGGGGGAGGGGGACTGCCTTCTCCTGAGGACAAGGGCAGGTCCCTCCTGTCCCTCCCGGCTTCCCCTATTCTGGCCTTCTTCCCAGACCTATAGGGCCTCAAAATCTCAACCCCAAGGTCTCATCCCCCTGACACCAGGCCCCCAAAAGTCACCAAACATTCTCCCCCTACCACCACCWCCTGAGCTTTAAGAGCCCTGAGCTTCTCTGCCAGCAAGGAGACCCCCATACTCCTGCTGCCCCATACCCAGTGGCAGGGCCTCCTCTTCTCCTGCGCTCTTGCCCCAGCTCTCACACCCAATCTGGTCTGATTCACAGGTTATAAAAAGCTCCGGCCTGGTCTGGTCTCGGGGCTGGGCCAAGCCTGGCCCCTGTCCTCCTACCTCCTGCAAGACCTGGCTCAGCTCCCCGCACAAGGCCCCGATCTCCTGGCAGGCTGAGAAGTCATTTAAGTGGGAGAAGAGGTACCTGGCAGGGGAAGAATGGCACAGGGGCTCAGGGGCGGTGCTGGGCCACTTGGAGCCAATTTCCCATCTGAGACTTGGGGAGCATACACAGCTCCTGCCCTGATGAGTGTTGCTTTGGAATAAAGGAGATAACTGATATATCCAGAGAGGTCAGCACAGGACTTATTTGTCATGCAGCCCCTGTTCTAGGCACTGGGGAGACGGACAGTAAACCTGTCATTATGTCAATAATGATTTAACTCTGACTGTAATGAGTACCCGAGATGTAGAGCTCTGAGAATGACTGACAGGGAAAGAGTCCCAGAGGAGGTGACATTTGAGGTGACACCTATAGGACAAGCAGCAGCAGCTATTGAAGGGGATAGGGAACTCTTCATTTAATGGCTGTTGATAAGACTGTTGTGATAACAAGTGGGCGGGATGGGAACCCAGGTGGTCAGCGCCCCTGCCCAGACAGGCTAACTGCTCTGCCATGTCTGAACAGAGCCAGCCTGTTCTTCTCTCCCAGGTCCTGGAGAAAGACAAGGAAGGGTCCCCTTACCAGTCACCCCAACCTGGGTACCTGTTGAGCCAGAAGAGGAGCACACGGGCGTCACGCACCAGCTCCACAGCTACGCTGAGCACATCCGCAGGGGTCTCAGCACAGTCCCCCAGGTGGCCTTGGACTAAGCTCTGGAGGGCCTGGGTCCCCTCCAGCAGCCGCTCTGTCAGGGTCTGCAGGTTCTCTGTCAGCAGCCCAGAGCTCTGTGCCAGAAAGGGCCAGGTCACTGCTGCGGCAGTAGCACCCCCCTCAGTTGGCAGATCTGCCATCAGGGTGGCCATAGTTTGCTCACCAGGGCCCGGAGCTGTTCCACCCCATCCAGAATGAGCTCCTGATGGCCCAGAGGCCACACGGTCAGAGCCTCGAGGCTGCGGGGACAGAGCTGGAGCAGGTACTTGCCAGGCAGCTCCCAGTCTTCAAAGGGATAGTCCTGCAGGGAATCATCTAGGCCTGCGGCAGAGCAAGGGTTGGAAGGAGGGGAAACAGAGGGGTCACGACCTTTCAGCCAGTTCTTCACTCCAGCAGACCTCTTTTCCCTCCCATCTGTCCCCAGTGACACCCTGAGACTCAGGCTGTATTCTGTCCATTTCACACCTGAGGCCACTGAGTAGCTGAGGACTCTATGGGCAGTGGCTTTCAAAGGTGGTCCTTGGACCAGCAGCAGCTGCCTCACTGGGGAACCTGTTAGGAATGCAAATTCCCAGGTCTCAGCCCCCAACTACTGGAGCAGACACTCAGGGCTAGACCCAGCGGTTTGTGTTTAACAAATCCTGCAGGTGACTCTGATGTTCCCCTAAGACTGAACACTAGTAATATAGAGGATGAGAGCAAGGGACTCGGAGTCAGGGAAACCCAAGAGCTAGCCCTTGAGCAATTAATGAGTGCTCCGTGCCTCAGTTTCTTCACATGTAAAATGGGAACACAAAAGTACCTACCTTCTAACCACATGTGTATTAAATGACATGATATATGTCAAACACTTGGTCCATTCCCTGGTTTGTGGTAGATAGGCAATAAATAGCAGCCATCATATTATTACTGCCAGACTCTACCATGATTTATGAGGCCCTGCATGATTAGGCCACCACCTGTCCTTCTAGGATTGTGGCACAACCCTTCCAACTCAACACTTCAGATCCAGAGCACCAACTCCTTGGAAAACTATTTTGCCTCAGGGTCCCCACATGCTCTGTTCCTTCTGCCTGGATTGCTCTTCCAGTTTCATCACATCCTTTTGCTTACAGCACCTGAAATACCTTCCACAGCTCCCCAGGTTGGGTAGGGAAGCCTCTCCTCTTGATCCCACTGTCCCCTGAGCTTCCACACACCCTGGTACTTGAACATCAGTCTTTTCTATCATTGGTCCTTCAAAGACCAGGCCTTAAATAACCATTCATCCCTAATCTCCAGCTTATTTCTGACACAAGGCAGACACTCAAAAATAAGAAAACTCTCTCTTGAGCACTTACTTTGTGCTAGGAAAAGTTTTATGGGCTTTACATATATTGACACATTTGAYCTCTGCCTCATTTCTAGGAGGTGGGGGACTATAGTCATACCCATGAAACAGATGGGAAAACTGACACAAGGGCAAATAAGCAGCTTGCTCTCTCTTTGGAGGAATTCCACCCTGTGGGAGCCAGGATTTCATTGGGGAATTTGGGTGTGTGGTCAATAGTGCTCCCTCATGCCCACAGTGGCATTAAGAGCACTAAGAGTTCATGAATCTGTGGCTCCCTGGCTATGGATCGTTTAACAACTTCACAGTGAATGTGTTGGAACACCTGCCTCCCAGCAGACCCCAGAACTGAGTTACAAGTGCTAGCCAAGCCATGACTATCTCATTTTGTCCACTTCATGGACAGAAACTAAGACCTAGGGTCACAGAGCCAGTGAGTGGTTGAGCTGGCCTGAAACCCAGTTTGGCAGTGCCGGCTCCAGTCCTGAGTGGGCTGCTCACCCTGAGCCTGTCCCCAGGCCACTCAGGCTGCCCGCCCTGGGAGGGGTGTCCTGACTCACCGCCCACTCCAGCGACCCCCACAGAAGGCTCTCACTGGCTCTGTCTGCACTTTGTGGCTCTCTGGGCCTAGGGAGCCTCTCCCTGGAATGGGAGCCCCCGGAGTGGGACTGTGTCACCCACTTCGGTCTGGCTGAGGCTTCTGCTTCTCCCCCTGGGAGTCTCAGCCTAAAAGGGGGATCTGACACCAGGGCCGCTCCTGTTTCAAGCCAGCAGACCACTTCCTGGCTGTGCGCCAGGTTCAGCTTCTGAGAAATGGGCTTAATACAGCCCTCTGGGCCCTGGGGCACAGGGAAGCGGGAGGCGACAGAGGGTCCCTTCGGTTTTCATGGCCTCGCCGCCCTGGGGCCTCTTGGTATGCAGGGGCGATGGGGGACCCACGTCTGGTCCCGAGGCCCTCCGGGGCCACCGGTCCTCCCGGCACAGTACCTGGGACTCGGCAGACCTCCATAAACACCTGTTGACTAACAGACTCCGCGGGTTTCGCCCTTTTCCTCGCCCGACTTTCTGCCGACGCGACGCCGCCTTAGCGCCCCGCGGGCCCCCTCCTGCCCCAGCCCCACCCACCTCGCAGCCAGGCCGCCACCTTCCCGGGGGTCCAGGTCTCCACGGGCTCCATGCCCGGCTCCGCCCGCCGCGCAGGAATTTCCGCTCTGGAAGTCGCGGCCCGGGGCGGCGCCGGGCTGGGCCGGGGCGGGGCGCCGCATACCTGGGCCCACGTGGCCGCGCAGGTGAGGCTCCGCCGAGCCATTGGCCCACCAGCTGTCCGCCTCCTGCCCCGCCCTCTGGCATTCCTGGGCTCTGCCGGCCAGGTCGGGCGACTCAGAGCCGGACTGAAGTCCCGCCCCAAATGGGCTTCGTGTCCCGGAGTGGGGCCTACACCCGCAGGATCCTGGAAAAGGAGCCAGAAGGGGGGCAAAACCCACCTAGCAAAGCAAAAGGGGGTGCGGGGGTGCTGTGACCTGGGGCTGACCCTAACTTGTGTGCATCAGTCCCAGATCTGTCAACTGGACTTCATAGTTCCTGCTTCAGAGGGTACTTGCCAAGTATCGGYGTAAATAGCTCCCAAACATTTACAACTGAAGTTTTTAGCTCCCTCTTTATCTTGCACCCCTTCTCCATCTGGTGAGGCTAATTGGACCCTTTCTCAGAATGTGGCTTTTACTTATTATTTATTTATTTGTTTGTTTGTTTGTTTGTTTATTTATTTTTGAGACAGGACCTCACTATATAACCTCACTATGTTATCCATCACTATGTTGAACTGATGGACTCAAGTGATCTTCCTGCCTCCGTTTCCCCGGTAGCTGGGACTACAGGCACATGCTACCATGCCAGGCCAGAATAACACTTTTATAAGCAGAAAGCAGGAAGCTTAAATTGAGCGTGGTTGCATAGTCCCGTCAGCCCTGCTCCTCGAGAGGGTGAAGTAGGAGAATCACAAGTTTAAGACACTCCTCGGGAACTAACCAAGACCCTGCCTCAAAAAAAAAAAAAATAAAATAAAATAAAAAGGGCTGGGGACATAAGTCAGTGGTAGAGCACTTGGCTAGTGTGCACAAATTTCTGGGTTCAATCCCCAGCACTAGGATGAAAGAAGCAAGGTGAAGGATGCAGAAGAGTAATGGAGAAGCCTGGGTCACCAGCATGAGAACAGGTGGATTCACCATTTGGTCTCTGAACTGCCAATTATCATTGGTAGGTGCCCAATGAGTGGCTGCTATATCAAAGAAGGGTCTGAAATAGAAAGTGCCATCAGATCTGGTTTAACAGTGAGTTAATAATTACCATGATTGTGAAACAGTTGTGAACATAAATATTTCAATAACTACAATTTGATATGAAAATATGGAATTTCTATTGATGACAAAGCCAAAGATAATGTTACTACTTTAATCCACATAAAAGGAATTGGTAAACCAGGCTTGGAGGTACATGTCTGTAATCCCAGCAATTTGAGAGGTTGAGACAGGAGGACTGCAAATTTGCCACCAGCCTTTGCCATTTTAGAGGGCTGGGGATATAGCTTAGTGGTGAATTATTGCCCCTAGACTAAATCTCCAGTACAAAAAAATAATAATAATAAAGAAAAAATGACAAATTTTGGTTAGAGATTAGTGAAAATAAATATATATATTTCTTTACCACCCAACTTTATGAATTCCCCTTAATTCTTTTTTTTTTTAATCCCCTGAATTCTGAAGCCCAGATAAAAGCCTTCATGTAAGAAAAATGTCTGGTACACACTAAGTATTCACCATCATTTCAAGCCAGGAGACTCCTAGGACTTTGGAAGCAGAATAAGTTCCAGGCTCAGGTGCAGCATAAATGAGTCCAACTTCTACAATTCTCTGTACCTGTTTCTTTTCTTCTGGGGGTGGGGAGTGGTACTAGGGATTGAACCCAGCTGCACTTAACTGCTGAGCCACATCCCCAGACCTTTATATATTTTGAGACAGGGCCTTACTAAGTTGCTTAGGGGCTTGCTAAATTGCTGAGGCTGGCTTGTGATCCTCCTGCCTCAGCCTTCTGAGCTACTGGGACTATAGGACAGCACCACTGCACCCAGCTGTACCTGTTTTCTGCTTTTAAAGGGGGGACACTTAGACAGTAGAGGTGTGAAAACATCCTTTAAATAGTTTTAAATCTATCCCAAGTGGTAGATTTTAATTGTTATTGCTGTAATTCTGTGGGAAGGGGCCTGGAGGGCTTCCTAGAGCCTGCCTCTGGCTGTGCTGCCTTCAAAATCTCTATCTTGGGCTTGGTTGCCATGGCATGTGCCTGTAATTTCTATAACTCACAAGGTTGAGGCAGGAAGATCACAGGTTCAAGGTCAGCCTCAGCAATATACTGAGGCCTTCAACAACTGAGACTCAGTCACAAAATGAAAAACATAGATTTTTAAAAGGCTGAGAATCAGCATACTACAGTAATGCAGCCATAGTCAATGTTTATAGCAGCTCAATTCACATTAACTAAACTATGGAACCAACCTAGGTGTCCTTCAATAGATGAATGGACAAAGAAAATGTGGTATATATACTCAATGGAATATTACTCAGCTTTAAAGAAGAGTGAAATTATGGCATTTGCCAGTAAAAGAATAGAGTTGGAGAATATCATGCTAAGCAAAATAAGCCAATCCCCGAATGTTTTCTTTGATATGCGGATGCTAGTTCACAATAGGGGGGGGCACTAGAGAAGAATAGCATTACCTTAGATTAGGCAGAGGGAAGTAAAGCAGGAGAGGGGAGGGGATGCGGGGATAAGAAAGACAGTAGGTTCAATCCCCAGTATGTATATGTGTGTGTGTGTGTGTGTGTGTGTGTGTGTGTATAAAATTTTTAAAAGATCTCTATCTTTAGTGCCCTGACACCCAGAACTTCAAAGCCTGTAGATATCCTACCTGTAGCTCAAAGTCTGAATTCCAGTGGACCCAAGGAAGGCCCGTGCAGTGTAGCATGTGTGTTAGTTGTCCTCATTGAATAATTTCATATCCAAATTGAGATCTCCAGTCTCTCTGGAACTTGGCCAGCTCTGAGGACCCCCTCCCACCTTCACATTTGGTATGAGCAAGAAGGGAATGGCAGCTACTTCCTTCAAGGGGGACAGATCCCCACAGGCCTTGCCTCCTTCCACTTGTGAATGAGTAGGTTCAGAATTTGTGGCCCTCCCCTCACTTCTCTGGCTTTGTCCTTTACCTACTGTCTTCCTGCCCTGTGATGTCTATGTCCCTAGGGCCATGCTATATCCTCCTTTAACATTTTTGCCTCTTTATACAACAGCCACCCCAGGACACTCTGGGTGAGCCCAGTAAACTCTAACAGAGCCTTCAGTACAGGGTGGTAGACATATTTGCCTCCACCATCCTGATGTCATCAAATCCTTATCCTGAGTTGGCACCAGGCGGAGGTTGAGAACCCAGTCCAATTTYTTTTTTTTTTTTTTTTGGTATTTGGAATTCAACCCAGGGGCACTTTACTTACCACTGGGCTAAATCCCAAGCCCTTTTTATTTTTTGTTTTTGAGACAGGGTCCTGCTAAATTGCTAAGGACCTCACAAAGTTGCTGAGGCTGGCCTTAAACTTAAGATCCTCCTGCCTCAGCCTCCTGAATCCCTGGGATTACARGCATGGACTGACATGCCTCAGTTTACTATTTTAACATACTGTGGAGAGCTCAATCAATATATACACATCTTTTTATTATTGTCCCCAAGCTGAGGATAGAGAAGTCCTTGCAGGAACTTTGTCTTGAAGAAGGAGGTGAAATGTGCCCTCCTTCCAAGGAAGAGGGTACATTTGTATATGGTTGATCATATAGAAACCAAATAGAAAAGATGTACTGCTGTTAAAAGAAAGACTAATAATGTACCCTGTCGCTCCTGATTGGTGGCATCTATTACCTGAGGTAGGGACAGGGTCTGGACCAGAGCTGAGGGAAACCCGCCCAGTACCTGCCCGGGCCTGGGATTCCTGAGCACTGGCAGCCAAGGCCACTCCTGCCAATCTGGCCTGGCCTCCCTGGTGAATGGGGGAGGTGCTGCTCAGGCCTGATGCTGATCTCTCCTGACAGCTGCTTCCAAGGCTGGCAGGATGGCAGTCAGTGGGGGAAGGGACCAGATTTAAAGATCCAGCGGTCCCTCCCCCTGCCAGATCGCAGCAGGCCAGTCACGGGTGAGCATCCTCTGAGGGCATGGCTTTTGTGCATATGGGAGGTCAGAGACCCTTGTACCCTCATTTCCACTTCTTGGTACCAAGAACACCACTGGTCTTCATGTTTGCTAGCATCCCACAGGCCGCCTAGGAGATTGGTGGCTCCCACCATGCGATTTCGACGCCTGACCCCAGGCTACTTCCGGGTACTACAGGTAAGTACTTCTAACTGATGGTTTCTGGCACCACTGACCCCTTTTTCCCAACAGTTCCCCTTGATACCCCCAATAGCCAGGCTGTCACGTTCCCTGCCGCCTGACTAGCCAGAACCCAGATGGGCAGTGAAGCGAGAGGGACTGGGGTGGAATCTCCCTGGGGCGGCAATGGTGCCCGTACTGCCCTCACTCAGCTGCACCGTCCCTGCTTCTGCYTGCCTAGAAGTCTCCATCGACCCCTCAGCTACACCTTCACCCTAGATGCAGGTAGCCGGGAAGCTGAAGGCAGAGCCCCGGAGTCCGCTGGCTGGGGTTGTGGCTACGCTGCTGGCTGTCCTCGGGCTGGGCGGCTCCTGCTATGCCGTCTGGAAGATGGTGGGGCAACAGCAGCCGCCAGCACAGGCCCCATGACAAAGCAGGCCGCCTCTCACCTGGGCTTTGGAGGTAGGTGACTCAGRAGGAGACTACAGTCTCAAAACCTCCTTTTCTAGGAATCAGTCCTTGCCCTCATTGGAAGCAGAATAGAATAAATCTTATCCTACTCCCCCACTTCACACTGCATCTGGGGTCCAGGTAAGATGCTAAGACTCCAGGAGGGAAGGGATGTAGCTTCCAAAGCTGGACCAAGTAAGGAGTAGACACCTGGGCCTTGTATGTAGAAGGTAGCTGAGGACTCCTCATAGGGCAGGACTTTGAAGCCAGATGTGGTCTGGAAGTTAGAATCAGGGGTAAGCCCTTTGTCCATTTCCTTTATTGGGGGACAGGCACCCAGAGGAGGCCAAACCCAGAATCCAAAGAGACTGGCACACTGTCTCCCAGCCTAGCCCTTACACCGCTGTCCATAGGCAGCTCCTCTGCCCTGAATCCTCAGGCCTTGTCATGCAGATGTGTCCATCTCAGGGACTTCAGTKGACACTTCTGTGGGCACTGCCAGTCGCCGGGGTGGCACATAGGAACCCATGCCCGCTGCCCTCTCTGCCTCTTCCTGACTGTAGGGCTCGATGCTMAGCTGCTTCAGCCTGGGGAAAAAGAAGAACACGAGTTGGGAGCTTACCAAGTGCATGCCCAGCATGCCCTGCATGCCCCACACCCACGCRTCAACACTCTTCTTACTCCTTCATACCTTTTCTTGTGGTCTTTGGATCGGAAGTGGGTCTTCAGGTTGGCGGAATCGACAAAGTACCTCCTGCAAGGAGAGGGTGAGAAGACTGAGGAGGTGATGCGTCTCAGGTACGCCTGTCTCCCTGACCCTAGCTCATTCCCCGACGCCAGGCTCCGGGGCTGGAGGGATGGATGGGAGAGGAGTTGACCCACTGGTCCAGAGAGGAGATCCTGCGTGGCCCGGCCCTCACAGYTCCCAGCCAGTACAACAGACCCTCTCTCGCCCCACGCTGGACTCGGCCGAGACTCACCCGCAGGCCAGACAGCGGTGCAGGCCGCCCCCCGGCAGGTCAGGGTCGGGCTCTGTGTTCGGGTTGGGCTTTGCCGGTGCCGGACCCTGCGGCCGCAGCTCGCGGTGAATCTCATCCAGGTCGGGTCGCCGCCGCTTAGCCTTCATCTGGCGGGCTAAGGAGTGCGCTCGGTGCGCGCCTGTGCGGCGGGAGCGACCCATGGCCAGTGACAGCCGGACAAGAAGGYCGGGAGCAGAGAGGGGGCCGCACGTGTACGCGCTTCCCTAAAGCTCAATGACGTCACGAGACGCCCGGGGGCGGGGCCGGACCTGCCCGACTGTTTCTGATGACGTCACTCACACGGTCCGCGACTTTAGCGCCCCCAGGCGGCGGCGGACGGGCGTGACGGAGCCTGCTCTCCCACGGGAGGGAGGCCGCGCGTAGCTGGGGAGGGCGGGGAGCGACGTGCGCCTGTGGGGTTCCGGGCGGGTCCTGCTGCACTGCGCGCCCCGGCGCGGCGCCATCATCCTTTCCTGGTTCCCACACCTTAAACCCTACGGTGGAGGGTCTAAGCTTTATGCATCTCTGGAAGGCACTGATAATGCATGTAAAACGAATAAATTAATAAATGATGAGTGATTGAGTTTGGGATCCCGGCTCCAACAAGGCTTTCCGAGATACCTGCAGCCCCTGGCAAGCCCTCACCCCTTCTCCCCTCTTCCCAGTTATTCTATTAAGTCTCTGTCCTCCGCCCGCCCGCCAGGCAAATCCAAGGGGAGGCGCTGTTCCTACCCAAAGACCCCAGCACACTCTCGCAAGAGCAGATACTCACAGAAAGACCCCTATTGCTGCCTCTTTTCTCTGGGCTGGACTTCCCAGGAGAGGGCTTACAGCAAGGGCAGAGATAACTAAATGTTGTAGGCTCACAGGAGGGGCGAATGCCAGAGGGCCATTCCTCATTCATTGGGTCCTGGTGCCTACCAGACTGGCTAGAGACAACTCCACTGGACGGTGCCAGAGAAGCTCAGCAATAATTCAGGGGCTCCAGCTCTTTGGAACCTGTTGCCAGGAAACAGAGAGAGGCACGTGCATCCCTAGGGAGAAGAATAAGTTTCCAGGCCAGACAAAGAAGTGAAATGTAAGCCCAAGGTGCTGACAAGGTCYGAGGATCTTCCCACTCCTGTTCATGAAGGCTGAGTGGGCACAGAGTGGCCCTGCCAAGGACATAGCTGGTATGGGGACACCAGTGTATGTCATCAACCTAAGGACTATGCAAATAAAGAGAATTTGTCTGAAGCCATTCCAAGAGATTGACAACCTTAAAATATTCCTAAACCCAGGAAGGCGACCTCTTCAGAGAGATGTCTTTAGTATTGGTGGCCAATATGGGTCAAGACAAGAGACTAAGTTGACAGAAGTCAACCCCTTCTCAGACTCCTTTGGATCAGTTTCACCTGCTGGGCATTGTGCCAGTTAGGGAGGTTGGTGCATCTTTAATGAAGTCACCCGATCRCTGGGACAGGCTCTTGGCCCCACCAAGTTCCCAGAGCCAGATCTATAGGTGCCCACTGAGTCACCACCTTCTGTGCCAGGGYGCCAGGCTCCTTTCTCTTGCAGCTATGAACCAAGCTTTTTGGAAAACCTACAAGTCCAAAGTGCTACAGACCCTGAGTGGGGAATCTGAGGAGGACCTGGCAGAGGAGGTGGGTACCCTTCATGCCTGCTGGGTGGGGCATGGACAGGGCAGCAGGAGGGACAGAAAGAGGAGCAAGAGATGGGCTCTAAGAGAGGGAGAGGCACATTTGTACAGTAACTGTAGGCACATACAGGGATGGCAAGCAGCATGGTRCAGTCAGACGCCAGGACACCTAAGAAAACTGAGGAAGGAGAGAAGAACTGTGGCTGTGGGAGGAGTGGCCACTGTCTCCATCGTCCCCAAGGGCTGCGCATAGAAGAAATTCTTCTAAGACCAGTAGGCAGTAGCCACACTCAGTATATGTGGCTTGACACAACTTTCTTTTTTTTTTAATTTAATTTTATTTTTTAAGAGAGAGAGAGAGAGAATTTTAATATTTTTTTTTTTTTAGTTTTCGGCGGACACAACATCTTTTTTTGTATGTGGTGCTGAGGATCGAACCTGGGTCGCAYGCATGCCAGGCGAGTGCGCTACCGCTTGAGCCACATCCCCAGCCCTTGACACAACTTTCTAATAAGCAGAGCTAAGCAGAAGTGGGATGGCTTGCCTTGAGAGGTAGTGAGCCCTCTGGTACTAGGGGTAGGGGTGTGGCACTTGAACTCTGAGCACTGTGTCACTGTAGCAGTGTCACATCAAAACCAAACTTACATCATGCTTTGTTCTGATTWAAAAAAAAAAAAAAAGGCTCTGCATGCTTGTAATCCCAGCTACTCGGAGGCTGAATCAGGAGAATCCCCAAGAATACAAGTTCAAAACCAGCCTCAACAACTTAGCAAGGTCCTTATCAACTTAGTGAGATCCTGTCTCAAAATAAAAAAATAAAAGGGGGTGGCTTGGATGTGGCTCAGTGGTAAAACTCATCTGGGTTCAATCTCTAGTCCAAAACAAAACAAAATAGCAACAACAACAACAAAAAAAACTCTAGGTCTCCTGGCGTGATGGCGCACGCCTGTAATCCCAGTGGCTCAGGAGGCTGAGCCAGAAGGATCTCCAGTTCAAAGCCAGCTGCAGCAATGGCAAGGGGCTAAGCAACTCAGTGAGACCCTGTCTCAAAATAAAATACAAAATAGAACCGGGGATGTGGCTCAGTGGTCAAGTGCCCCTGAGTTCAATCCCCAGAACCAAAAAAAAAAAAAAAAAAATCTATGTCTGGAAGCTGTGATAAGTAGCAGTCAAACAAACAGATGTGGCAGGGACAGGAACTAGTCCTTTGGGGTGGGTATGTGTGGATAAGTGTATGTCTAGACAGGTTGGTGTCCAAAGTGGGGCCTGTGTGGAAGTCTGGGATGGGACTCCTCCGGGAGGAAGCCCCAGTGGGGGGCTTCTGCACTGCGAATTGGATCCAGGTACCTGCAGGTGCTGGGGTTTGGGCTGGAGCACACGCCTGTCAKCCTTATGCTTGCGTGATGTGTGTGTCCGGGTGTCCGTGGGTAGGTGGAGAGGATTGTGTGCTGAGGATGGGCCTTTGTGCAGCTGTCTGCAGTTGTCCATGTGTAAGGGTGTGAGGCATGACTTCATGAGTCGTGCAGGTGCCCTGTGGCACATACAGGGGAAGAGCTTCGGCCCTGTGGGGGCATGCTCGTGGCCAGCTATGTCTGTCTACATCACCATGCATACCCTTGCCCACATGTTTCTGGGGGCATCTAGATGTGTCTGTGGGTGGGCTGGTATGTGTGCTCAAGGGTGTCTGCAGGGTTTATCATACATGTGTACGTACCTGTGGGCAGTCCCACGTGCCTTCATGGAGGTATGAGGTATGCAGGTGTGTGTTAAGTTCTGTGGGGTTGGGGTGCCTGTGTGTACCAGGCTGGCCATGRGGAGGGAGGTCCCACTTTCTGGGGCTTCTCTCATGCTCTATGGGGGTTTTGTGTCTCAGAGGGAGAACCCAGCTTTAGTGGAGTCTGAGACAGCAGAACCTGCTGAGGAGGACTTCAGTCCCGTGTCACAGCTGGCCCGCAGGGTGAGTTCTCCCTTCTTCCACCCAAACCCTGGGGAACTCCTGGAGGCTGCTGTGGAGCCCTGGGAGGCTGAGCTGGGCCCTTCCCTGACTCCCAGCCCCTCTCTCCCAGGTTCAGGGAGTCGGGGTGAAAGGCTGGCTGACAATGTCATCTCTGTTTAACAAAGAAGATGAGGACAAGCTGCTGCCACCAGAGCCCTGTGCTGACCAGTATGTGTGTGTGTGTGTGTGCGCGCGCGTGTGTGTGTGTGTGTGTGTGTGCGTGTGTGTGTGTGTGTGTGTGTGTGTGTGCGCGCAGTGGGCAGTTCCAGTAGGGCCTGGGGTCTCTCTGCTGTCATGTCATTTCCTTCTGATCTCTTTCTCTTTCTAACCACGGAGGGCTGGGGAGGGGCAGCTCCTGACCTTCCATTTTTCTCAGCAGGACACTCGCACAGTGTATCTGGGAGTTTGGGTTAGATCTCAGGAATTTACCAGCAGTTGGGACTGAAGTTGGAGGGTGTTTATGGGCTGTCTTTCCCCACCACTGGGGAGAGGCCATCTCCTGAGAATCCTAACAGAGAGGTCCTCTAGGTGTTTGCAACATGCAAGAGAGAGTGGTTCGGAACAACCCTCAYCCTCCAAGGGAACATGTGACCAACAAATTCTGGAACCCTCTTCCACAGATTGAGATTCAGGAGGCATGGGTAGTGCGGGAGGATCTCAGGGGACTGAGAGGCACACTAGTTTGGGAATCACTGCTTTGGAAAGCCTTTGATGCTCAGGGGCAGGGGGTTGGACACAAGCCTCTTTCCCCTGCTCTGGCTCTGGCACCGGCACCCACTCCATGCCTGCCCTTTCCTCCAGCCCAGTCCACTCTCCCAGGGGTTGCCTTTCTTCCCCAGGGTCCCCTGACCCATCCATCCAACCTGCCCCATCCATCCAACCTGCCCCAGGGCTTTCTTTCCTCTCCCCAGCTCACCCCCTCTCCCTCCTGGTCCTGGAGGCTCTTCCCAGACCTGAGGCTCCCACTTCAAGCCTCACCCCCTTCCAGGAAGCCCTTTCCCCACATTTCCCCTCTACCTCCGGAGTCCCCCTCTCCCCTAAGCTTCAGGTCTAGGATTTTCCCTTTCCTCGGATCGCTCCACCCGTCTCTCCCAGGCCCCTAGTCACCCCACCTTTCCTTTATCCCAGAACCAGCCTCTCTGCCCTGTCCCACCTCGATTCCCTCCAGTGGGCTCCACAAGCCCTTGCCCCCACCCCACGTCTGGGTCTCACTCCTCTTGGCCGCCTCTGACGGCTGCTCCCGGGTCCCCCGCGCCCCGCCACGTGGTCCCTTCTCACAGCCCCCGACTCTGCTCTCTGCAGGGATTCTGGTCTCTTCTCACCAGACCCCTGGCCTAATCCTCTGACCCCCGACCCAACCAGGCCCCTCCTTCCCAGTGCCTCCCCTTGCCCGGAGGCTCTAAGTGACCTCCTCCTGACTCCCTCTGCCCCACGGCTGGACTCGGTTCCCGCCTCTGTCCATTATTCCTTTCTGGGACCCCTGGCCTGCCCCTGGGGACCCGGCCCTCTCCTGTCGCTCACCCGCCCCTCTCCTGCAGCCCCCTGGCGGCGCAGCCCACCTCGCAGGGGGGGGCCACCGAGGCAGAGCCGCGCGGCCCGGGATTCTGGGATGCGTTCGCCAGCAGGTGGCATCAGCAGCAGACCGCGGCCGCGTCCATGCTGCGGGGCGCCGAACCCACCCCGAAGGCGGACCCGGAGCCCCAGGACCAGGCCGGAGAGGAGGCCAACGAGCGCCCGGAGCCTCGGGAGGTGGACCCCGCGGCCGGCTTCAAGTGGGATTTCCTCACCAACAAACTGGCCGAGATGAGGGTGAAGGCCGTGCCCAAAGGTGACTAGCCGGCCCCCCAAACTGGGCACCCGCCCTCCGCAGCCCCCATTAAAAAAAAAAGTAGCCCTACACCTCGTGTGACGGCGTTTCTGTCAGGACAACAGGAAAAGCAAAAGCTGTTTGGGGGTGGGGGGCCTCAGGCGGGGTCTAGTTGGAGATGTCCTCGCACCTTTACCCACAAAAGTGCTGGCGCAAAATGACCAGGTGGCACACGCCTGTAATTCCAGACACTTAGGAGGCTGAGGCAGGAGGATCGCAAGTTCAATGCCAGTCTCAGCAATTTAGCCAGACCCCCCTGTCTCAAAATAGAAAATAAAATAAAATTTAAAAGGTCAAGGTGGCTGGGTGACTTTTCGGAGAGCAGGGACTGGCACCATTACTGGCTCAGCCCCATTCGGTTCAACAAACGTGGCCGGTGGTCCCTCTACTATGGAAAGGTCAGACACTAAGGAGAGAACTCACTACCGGYGGGTCCCACAAAAGGTGAAAAATTGGGGCCCAAAAATAGGGCCGCAGAGGGGAGCTTAGAGGAGGTGAGGCCGACTGGGGAATTCAGGAAGGCTTCCAGGAAAATTTTTAGAGATGAGTGATGAGTGTAGAGAGAGGGAAAGGACACCGAGGCCAAGGGAGGAAGTGCGTGAACAAAGGCTTAGAAGTGGGAGTCTGAAAGGAAAACATGCGACCGGTGTATCCTTGAAAGCAAGGGAAGCAGTACCTGATTGTAAGGTTGCTGGCTGGCAAAATCCGCGTTTGAAGGGTCCCTCCTTGTAGCGACCACAATTTCAGATCCTCGCGTCTCAGTCGTTCTTACCCACTGACCACAAGGGGGCAGCAAAGCGTTGGGAATGAGGACTATTGGGGGGGGGGGATCATAGGACCCCAGGTTTCTGAAACAGAAGCTTCCCCGGGTATTCCTAGCTCTAGTTTGGATCAACTTTGGGGTCGGTGACAAAAAATGATCGTATTAGCGTTGGTACCAATTTGATAGTAGTCAAAGCAGCTATTGTTTATTGAGCACTTTCTATATTCCAGGCACTTTGCTATTCAAATATTTTTTTATGATCTACTACTCTCTCTTCCCTTTTAAAACCAAGGGGTGCAGCTTTTGTCCAGAGAGGTTAAGTGCTTGCCCAGGGTCACACAGTGAGCCTGGAACCCACACTCCGAAACGGACCACGCAAAACTGCTCACCCTCTTCTTCAACATCTGTCCCCAATCTAAACTCACGACCCACTTAAATAACGGTTTCGATTTATTCAGTAGGTTGGCTCCCATCTCACTCCAGTCATCATCACCCCCCACACCAGCCACCAGGTCGCTGCCTCCCCTTCCGCAGCCTGCCCTGGGAAGGCCTTCGGGCGCGTTTGGTCCCGCCTCCCCAAGGTTCAGAGGGGTAAACCGAGATCCAGAGGAAGGGCTCGCCCACAGGCGCCGCGCGCGTCCGAGGCAGTGCGTCTCCGCGGGTGCCCAGGTGCAGCCAGCGCTCCCAGCTCCCGGGGCGCCGCCTCGGGGGCAGCTGCCGTCACACTTCGGACTCGCGCGGCGGGCCGCGGGCGCGCTGGCAGCCGTACAGCCACTGGATGACGCGCGCGTTGCGCTCCACCACCGACACCGCGGGCCGCCCGTCCCGCGCCGAGCCCGCCGCCTCCGAGCCGCCGCCACCGCCCGCAGCGTCCCGGCCGGCCGCGCCCCCGTCGCTGGATGTCCAGTCGCTGGTGTCCCCGGAGCCGGGCGGCGGCGGMGAGGTTCCGGCCTGGGGGCTGGCGTCGGCGCCCCAGCTCTGCGGGGAGAAGCGATCCGCTCCCAGCACCTCCACCAGCGCGCGCTCCAGGCCGCAGTAGTTAAAGAAACGCTCCTTCTCGGACAGGGGCAGCGAGCACGTGGGGCACAGCGCTGGCTTTCCTGCCGCCTCCGGGGCATCCTGGGGCGCGGGCCAGCCCCCTGGGGCTGCGGGTCGCTCGGTGGGACCCKGGCTGCTCGGGGCAGCGTCCCGGGGGATGCCCAGAAAGAGGCGCCGCACCAGCCCTTGGCCCTTGGCGTTCTCTTTGTTCACGGAAGCCTTGCAGTCCCGCTTCTGGCGGTAGAAGATGAGGGAGTCTGGCCTTGGCTGCCGCCTGCCACTGCCCCGACGGGCCGGTCCAGGCGTCCTGGGCGATGCAGCGGACCCTAGCTCATTGCAGGGGTGCGGGGTGAGCGGTCCTGCGGCTCCACGCAAGGCTGGCTCCTGTCGCCGCACTATCACCTGGTGTGTCTTGACGTACTTGGCTTTGTCCGCCTCCAGCCTCTCCACTGCGCTGGGGGTCCGTCCCCTGGATGGGGTGGAGGGAGAGGCCAGGAGCATCGTGGCAGAACTGGGCAACACAGTGCCCCATAAGCCGCTGGACGTACACAGTCAGAGGAGCCAAGAGCAGTTAGCTGAGGCTTCCTGGGACCAGCAAGGAGAGAAAAATGGTCAGGAGGAGGATGGGAGATGTTCCTGTCCGCCTTCTGGCACTCCTGGGCATAGGATCAGCTCGCCACCCTTTCCCCACCCAAATCAAGTGGGTCCATGTCCAGGGAGCAGAGGCTCAGGCTATCTCCTCTTCCTGTCCTCAGAAATATTTGATGAGGACTCTCTGGCCACCCAAAAATATATGCCTCTTTCAGAGTGCCCCAGTGTGGCCACAGGGCCATGCACTCAAACTCAGCAGACAGGACACTTGGAAAAGGAAATGGGGCTGGTCCCTGCCCAATTCCCGAAAGTGGCCTTAACCGGAAAAAATACCTCTTCCCAATCGGCAACTTTAAGCCCAAGACAAGGAGACTCCCCAGTCACAGGCCAGCTCCAGCAGGGTCCACCCTTCCCGCCCCCAAGCACCGAGGTCAGGGATATAACCACAGGGTAGGAGCCTCCAGTAATTGCAGCCAACTGCCCTGCCCAGGCCCAGCAGGGCTCTCCAGGAAGGAGAGGGAGGTGGTCCCCAGGTCATGTCAGCCAGCTACTGCCAGCCACTGTGTGCCCCTGCCAARGGGATTCCAGAAAACCAAACTGTAAACATCCCCTTGTCCAACCCCAGCATTTCCATTTTATTGGCCAGAAAACTGGCCTAGAGAGGAGGGGGCTTGCTCCAGTTCTTCTGAGAGTTAGGGGCCTGGACTGGAACCCAGGTCTCACGCCTTAAAGTCCAGAACTGGTTCAGATAGGATCCCTCACCTATTAGAATTTCCCTGTGGGATTCAGCTTTGGTTCCTGCTACTATCAAATCAAATCATTTCCATTAGAGATGAGCCCTTTGTCTCACTAAAAAAGTTCCTTCCACTGATTCTTCCCAATGACCTACACTCACTGAAATCTGCCCTCCGGGTCCCTGCCCCCTTCTCACCCTGCGACCTCTGACCCTGCTCTTACTCCTCCACCTCCCTTGTGCTGGGGAGGGGGATGAGGAGCGATTGTAAATCAAAAGCTGACAGTTTCCTTGGCAGTTAACAGAATGGGCCACCCACATGGCTCAGCACACCCCACCTCTGTCCTCCTACTCCCCCATCCCACATTCAGCTGAGAGGGACCCATTAGTGCTGGACACTGAGGGGACCTTGGATCTGGAGGCAACAAAGGAACAGACTAGCAGAGATGGGGCTCCTCTGGCAGCGAAGCTATGCTGGCAGTGTCCCCCACTTTCTCCCAAGGACTGTACTGGGCAGCAGGTCTGATTCCAAGGCCCCAGGAAGGCACTATGCTTGCCTGACCTTGTGGGTTCCCTGTGTCCCCTCCTCTTCCCAGCCCTGAGTAGGGAAGCTATAAAAAGCCCCTAAACACAAGGACCAAAATAGTCTCTGTCTGGTGCCTCTTCCCTGGCTTTGATGGCTGGCCACAGACGAGCCAACCCTAGAAGCCTGATGTCTGTCCTTGTCCCGTCCATTCGTTTGCTTACCTCTCCTCGTCCTGGAATTAGGGGTCCCAACTCAACTGGAGGCTTTACTCTGGACGTGGGCCAGCTTCCAGGCTTAGCGGCCAGGTGCCAGCCTCCCTGCCCTCTGCCTGCGGTGTGCGCCCACCCCAGCCCTGGGCTCAGGATGCACTCACCTCTGCGTGGGGAGGCTGAATTGCCAGGGTCCCTGAGCAGTTCCAGACTGAGGGCAGGAGGGACAGCAGGGACTGGAAGTAACTTTGGTGGCAGCCAAACCTCACTCTCCACAGGAAAAGCTGAGAGAGCCTCCACCTCCCCAGATTAACCCTTTCTGACCCAGAGCCTGSCCTCAGTTAACTCCTTCCTGATCACAGCCTCAGTGCTGAAGGGACCAGTGAACCAAGTCCAGCTCCTGTGTTTTATGGATGGGCTAGGGGAAATGGTTGACCATGGAGGCAGTGTGAACTTGGGACTCTGCCAGGACCCCAAACAAGATCTCCTGATCCCCAGGCTCCCTCCAGAGGCCTGGAGTGAGGGTGCAACTCATGTGGGCCCCTTCCCTGGGCCTCAGCAGTGGCTCTCATTGAAGGGAAGCAGAACAGGGTTCTATTTTCCCCTTTGTGTCAGGCTTAGGCTTTTTCTTGACTGGGTGTTGGTGGTGGCAAGTCTGCTTTCCTCAGGGCCGAGTCCAGGAATCCGCAGCTAAGGGTGAGGGCAGTAGTGCTGCAGATGTGCAGGGCTGGGGAGTGGAGTGTCCCAGCAAGATTTGGCAGGAGWGTCACCCAGGGGAGGCTTCTGGGCCAACCCTCTGTCCTTTGGTTTCCATTCTCCTCTTGTCCCACTTGGGGACTCCTAGGGTTGAGACAGTCTCTTCTCTGATGCCTCTTTTCTCAAGAAGTTTAACTTCATGGGAGCTCCTTCTCCCCAGCCGGCAGACTCTCCAGCACCCAGTTGTAACACCAGTGAGGTCCTGCCCACCTCTAGCTCCCCTCCCTCTCTTCTTGAATTCTTTTTTTTTTTTTTGAGGGTTGCTAGGGAGCAAATCTTGGGGTGTTTTTAACTCTGAGCTACATCCCCAGCCCTTTTTATTTTTTATTTYGAGACAGGGCCTCGCTAAGTTG